TTAAACAAGTTCAAAGGACTTTGATGCAATTTTAGATTGTTTAATTTATTGCATTTTAATATGTGGTGCATTATTATCATTTATTAAAAGCTTAGTAAGTGCACGTTAATGATATAAATAATGCACAATATTGTGCATTAAATTGCACATTAAAAATCATGTAATTTAATGAAATCGCATATTTGCCACTGCTCATCGTTAGGTCGGTTCGGTTGTTTCAGCCATTTTGAAGGTTGTTTCGGCCATTTTGAATAATAATAATAATGACTTACAATTGTTGTTTTTAAAATTTTAAAAATTCAAATTTATTACAATTTAGTGTACGAGTATAGTTTATTATTTAACAAAAAAAATAATAAATGCACATTAATGTTCATTATAGTGCACAATACAGTGAATATATATGCACACTAAATGTTCAGAATGAATAATATTGTCCGTCTACCGAAATTTTAAAACCAAAATAAACGACTCAAAATTGAAAAAAAGAAAATTGGAACGATTATTTTTTTAATGTGCAATTCGTATAACTGTATTGTGCACTGCTTTGGTCGTTATTGTGCAGTCTGAATTGGTTGAACTTTTTATCTCAAAAAAAAAAAAAAAATTGACCGCATTAATTGGTTTATTCTGTTATTTATCCAAGTTAATTAAAATATATGAAACAAAATATTATTTATATCAAAAAATGTAGTATTAATCTATGAACTATATATTAAAATAAAATCCAGTTAGCGTCGATATTATGAAAGCGTTGTTCAACATATAAACAATTTTGTTAAATGGTTGTTGTCAAATTGTTGATATGTTTGTATGGTTATTTAGTAATTTTATATTATTTTTGGTATAAATAACTGAAGTTTTAAAAGTAAAAACAAATATCGAACTAAAATATAAAATTAAAAAAGAAATCAAATATGATGAAATTGTGCAGTCTGATGGTCATTAATGTGCAATATGTATAATCATATTGTGCACGGGTTCAACCACTATTGTGCAATATGAAATGGTCGGGCTTTTGTCTAAAAAATAAAGTAACACTGAGCCAACATAATCGTTTTAGTCGGTTGGTGAACCGAATAAACTAAAATAAATAAAATAAATTATTGTTTATATTTTAAATATATATCTTGTATTAATGTATGAAAAAATATATTAATGTATAATTTATTTTTTATTATGTATTTAATATTATTTTTTGGTTAAAATAATATAATATGTATGTATAAAATATGTTTGAATATAATATTGTTTTTTAATAGATTTTACA